CGTTTGCGTGTATAATTTAAGAATCACGTAATGCATACGGTAACTGCAAATGTCATGTTGACTTCTGCATCTGATATTATTAGGAATGCAAATGTGAATTCGTCTATTGAATTTATCTAAAAAAAATGCGAAAACTTCGAACAATTCCGCATAAAATGTGGTTCTCACAAAGGACTGGTTAAACACGAGGGATAAACTGGTCAAGCACGAGGGATAAACAGGGATTTCAGGGTATCAATTGTTCTGACACGGATTCTTCCACAGTTGTTGAAGAATTTTATCTGGAATACCTGTTTGGTGACATGAAATCGATTCCTATGATGCAACAACTGAATTCCTTGCAGCAAACACCATGGTCATCAGACCAATTTCCTGGTTTTCTTCTGAGTTTTTACAGTCTGCTAGCAGATTATTACAGGACGGGGAATCGTTGTCATGTAGCTTCACGAATGGATGGGGTGCTATTGGTTGAATTAATCAAACAGGTGAAATTAAACCTAGAAGTATAGAGACAATCGCTTTATAATAAGAATAAACCACTGGCCAATGGCATGTGAATTTTGATCGAATGATCAAAGGAGAACATCAACAAAAAATGGGGAAAATACTAGTGGAATCGATCTGACACGACTGAAAATTATGTAGTACCATGCAATATTACTCATCCCGGCTCGCGATTGACTTAAGATAAGACGATCACCCTAAGGCTTAGGCTGCGCACAGGTTCAGGCTGANTACTCATCCCGGCTCGCGATTGACTTAAGATAAGACGATCACCCTAAGGCTTAGGCTGCGCACAGGTTCAGGCTGAAACTCACCCCGGAGTATCTGGTTATCCACTCTCTTGAAAATACGTCTACAAGTTTAGCACAACAGCAAATCAGTGTTCAAATGAGGATAAAGTAAGAAGGCTCTCGTCTGCCTCATATTTGATCATCAAGTGCGGTTGTTTTCAAAAAATCATCCAAAAATATGCATAATCATTTGAGCTTACCGTGGAATATGCGTAATCATCTGCACAACATTCTGCAATATGCTAATTAGGGCCCAGCTCACGATCAAATCGAATCCGTTTAACTGATTGCTAAGCAATGGCTCCCAAGATTTTTTGAATTTTTAATTTCAGGCACTTATGCAAATTGATTTGTTGATGTCATCGTTGCCCGGGAATACGTCGTCAGCCGGCTGGCCGCATAAATCTGCTCGAACCCAATTGGGATGTTTCATTCTCATTTCGTTGAAAGCGAATGGACGCTCGTGCAAAGATCTCGAAGTTATTTTCAAGCGCAACGGCTGCACTGAACAACGCTGCCACTGGGACTGGGACTGGGACTGGTGGAAGTGCCGCCGCTGAAACTACTACGGCTCAACCGCTGCAGTCGATCAAGCCTTGTAAGTTTCATTCCGCTAATTGAATCGATTTCATTTCATTTTGATAATGATCCTATCAACGTAGCCGTATAAAATCAGTGCAGGAGGAGGTGCTGTGACATTATGAGGAGCAGTTCAACACCTTCTCCTGCGTTCAATAGTTTTAGTTAAGAAAAAGGTTGACATTTAAGGTTATAACAGCTTGTATCGTTGGAAGACATAAATTTAGTAGGCACAACACTCTTCTATAATACATCAGCATTTAACACAGAATTCATCACCTGCTCCTGAGAGTTCCAATCTCATTCCGTGTTATTTCAGTCATGCATTTGAATGAATGGTTTTCTGCGGATGGAAACATTTTACTACTAGTCATTTTTTATTTTAAACTTGATAATATCACAAGATGATATATATATACGGATAAGTTGATAGGAGGATAAGAGGCAGTGAAGCATATCCGTGCTAAATCTGGTGGATTTGGAAAGAAGATGTTGTGCCCTACTACTAAAAGTAGTACGGTCCTTCATTCATCACCTGGTTATGATTACTGTTATGGTACTGGTTGCTGGCTCTCTTGCAGACAATTTGATTGGATATACTCAGTCCTCACAAAGAAGCAGCAGCAGCAGTAACCAGAAGCATTCGGCATCGTTAACCGCCTCATCGGCGAATCAGCATGGCACCAGCAACAGTCAACGACCGTCACCTCTAACCACGGTGCTAACTCAGAATGCCGTCCAGCAAAATGCTGCCTCATCGCCAGTACGAGCACGATTGACACTTGGTGGTACCACGAGCAAGCAAAATGTGAGTTAGTGTTTACAGAGAATTTCGACTTTTTATTGAAAACCTGTCAAAATCGCTTGGATATCAAACTAGATCACGGTTTGACTGAAGACTATCAGTTGCAGATGCATAGCTCCTCACCTCACTCGCGCATCTGGAGCCCGACTGGAGCTACAAGCCCATGCCAAGTGTCACCGTCAGATGAGCAATGCTATCGACGTACGCTAGCCGACGCTAGTTCTGGTCAGCTGACTTCGGTATGGACAACACTGAAGGATACTGTACAGTCCGGCCAGGCCATGACGAACTCGAACTGCACTCGAGCACCACAATCCAACTCCAAAGTGGTAAATCTCCCCCTTAAAATATTCTTGAACTTCACTTAGAGCAGTGCTTCTCATACAGGGTGAAATTACCCACTTTGGGTAATATGGGGTCTCGTGGGGATAGCGGAGAGGATCGGGTGTCGTGTTGTTATGATAGAACGTTATTGTGATGTGCTAATTCTGTCTCATCGTAGCGATACAGCTACCAATGGTAAATTTCAGATAAGTGTCACTTACGCAGATCCTACAGGCGGCAGCACAATCGTAACAAGACGACTTGAAGATGGTCATTTGGACGTTCGTTTCGTCTACTCAAGGGACTTCATTTTGGCCGCATCTTCAAGCCCCTACGCACTGGTGCCACCATCAAATGTCAAAAAAATAGTGGCGGAAATGGGCGAGATCATTGCCCCGTTTCCGACCAGTTTCTTCAATTCATTGAAGAAAGACACATTTCGCTGTGACGATTCAAATGAACTGCTAAGCACTGATTCAGTATCGGTCAATCCCGAGTCTGTGCAACTGCAAGCACAACACTGACCTTCTCTTCCCTTTGTTAGTAATGGTAACCTGAAAATTTTAGCAGTCTGCATTCAGTACTGCAAATCGCTTGTTATGCCGTTTCGAGCCTTAGCCTAACTTAAGTCTGAGCCAAAGCTAGTGCGAAAAGCCAGCATACAATGATGATAGTACTCTTAAAGAAGATAGTACTTAAATCAAATAGAAATGATTGAGCAATGGGCCGATAGTTAGTGGTGTTTAGATGCTGGGCTTTGGGGATGCGATTGATCTGTTCAGAGGGCGTGAGTTCGATTCGATTTGCAGAACGTGTTGGTGCAAAATCTTTGACAAAGTTTTATCTCATTAAAGAGATAAACAAAAGTAAATCTCTTTTGAAGAGATATTCACGAAGGGCTTAGTTTCGACACTATGCATCGCAGTAATCCTGACTGAGCTTAAACTCTAGAACAGTCAGAAGATCTCTGACCAAAAACTGTCCCTATGAGACCATAGGTTAGCGATAGCTGGAATCCGCTGTTGAAGCCTGCAGTTGCGCAGTCGTAGGCTCTCGTCGATAGCTCAGTAGCAGTTTTCAGATTCGGCAATTATTTTAGCTTTGTTTCGCCTCCAATTAAGTGTTTTATTCGAATATTGTTGATCGTTAGCAGCAGATTAAGTGACATCTTAAGAAGTTACTGGAGCACATTCGAATTATCCGTTCTGCACTCATTTCTGCCGTAATTCCTATCTGTAAACAACTCCTATCACTATTGATATCATTTTATTATCATTATCCTCATTATTGTTATCAATTTGATGTGTAGGTCTCCGTTTGAGTCAATCGCATAATCATTATCATTGATATTATGGTGGCAGATGCATTGAGTTCTATCAGTTCTATTGAGAATATCACTGTAATTTTCCGGGTTTGCCATTGATTTTGCGTTCCAAATCATTTTTATTAGGATGCATTGAGGTCACTATAAATGTTTTTGATCCGCGCCGTTCCTGCTTTCTTCCTTCTTTCCATATTCCATTCTA